AAGTGGGTCAAACTTTCGTCCTACCGCAGTAATACATTAGATTCAAGACATCATGCAATACGACATACTACAATACAATGCAACACAATACAATATTTCAAACATTATATGATTACGGGTCCTGGGCTGCTACACACTCCCCCACCCCCCGCCGCAGTTACTGCACACTAGCAGCTGATCACTTCCCACTGCACCTAACACGAATCCTTGAACGCCTGATTCGGACAAGCCACCAAGAAGGTATCTAGCCAATTCCAGACAAGGTTGTTAGAGTGCCACAGGAAGTATCGGCCCTCAGCCATCCACCTGCGCAGACCCACCGGCACTGCGTCAATGTTTACAATCTGGACATCGAATATTTTCGGCACTACATGTTGGACGTTCATGCTGCAGGCGCCATATCGACACTGGCGCTCTCAGCTCTCAAACCGGAAACCAGAACGTCTAGGACTGTCACGACCCAGCCTCACGGCAAGCTCTGCTGTAAAAGTGACTGCAAACCTGAGTCGTGTGTGTGTGGGTAGGGCTTGCAGTTGGGCCTGCGTTAGGTTTGAGGGTAGAGCGGCTGGGAGGGTACACTGACCAAATTCTTGGTGTAGTTGTCAACAGGGGTACGGCACGTCAGTTACCAGAACTCACACGGGTTTCATGCCTGTGAGTTGTTGAAGTCAAGTCCAAGGCACCGATCGGGCGTGAATCGAATCATTATCCAGATTAAATACTTCGGTTTGTCGGCGGTGCAAGTGCCGTCTTCTAGTTCAGGCTCTTTTGGTGAAGGCCTGTTCAGGGCTCAGGCTGGACCAAGTCGTTCACCGAACCTGACACAAAGTCTCTAAAGTTTAAAGTCTCTCTGCATGAAGCCACATGTCTCTCAACACTCTGCTGTGTAAAACCGAGCTGGCCTACACCGTCCAATGCAATCTCACATCAAATTCTCACCTTGTTCACCAAGAATGCTCTGACTGTTGACCAATGCATACCCGCAGTTAAGAGCAAAATGGCAAGCATAAAACCTTCCAATTCCTCTCCAAAGCGAGACGACAGATTTCTTCTTCGGCTGACATGAACAAACCAATCAAAATCGATAACATGTGGGTTGAGATGCATACTGTGTCCTCTGCGTGCAGAAAAGTCGCAGGTGCTGCAATCCGTCCTTACAGAAAGCCAAATTTCCGGCCCGCGAGTCACGTGAATCATGCGTTCTGTATTCTGCCCAACGTATCTCGGAGGTGCTTTTTCTGGGGAATCTCAACTCACCGTTTCTCCCATGCTGCAGATGACTCCATGAACCATTAGCCCTGCAAATCTGCAACAGGACGCCGGACAGTGCAAGAAACGCATCGCACACCAAAGCTCCAGGATCATGACCGCATCGGTGTCAGGGTTGCCCCAGGTGGCTAGATCCTCGGTCGCTCTCCAAGTTGTGGATTCCAGGGTGTAGGAGTCAAGGTGCAATGTCCGAGATAATGAATACTGCAACAAATGCTACTGATCCTGTCCTTATCCTTCTCCTCCTCCTGGTCGAACTTTAAATAAATCCCAGCTACTACGGCTGATGCTGCTGCTGCTATTGCTGATGCTACTACAACAACAACTACTACTACTACTACTGCTACTACTACTACTACTACTACTCCTGCTGCTGCTGCTGCTGCTGCTGCTGCTACTACTGCTAGGACTACTGCTACTGCTACTGCTACTACTGCTACTACTACTACTACTACTACTACTACTACTACTACTCCTGCTTCTACTACTACTACTACTACTACTACTACTACTACTGCTGCTGCTGCTACTACTGATACTGCTACTACTGCTACTGCTGATACTACCACTACTGCTACTACTACTACTACTACTACTACTACTGCTGCTACTGTTACTGCTACTGCTACTGCTACTACTACTACTACCACCACCACTACTACTACTACTGCTACTACTACTA